AAAACCACTTCAAGATGTCATCTTACCCCAGTCAGACTGGCTAAGATCAAGAGAACAAATGATACCAAATGTTGGAGAGGATGTGGGGAAAGGGGAACACTCATCCACTGCTGGTGGGGCTGCAAACTGGTTCAACCCCTATGGAAAGCAGTGTGGAGAACTCTTAAAAAACTACAAATGAACCTACCATTTGACCCAGTTATACCACTCCTTGGCATATACCCAAAGAACTCATCCTATTGCAGAGACACTTGTACATCTGTGTTTGTTGCTGCTCTTTTCACAATAGCTAAGGGATGGAAGCAACCTTGGTGTCCCTCAACTGATGAGTGGATAATGAAAATGTAAATGTGGTACATCTATTCAATGGACTTCTACTCAGCAGTAAAAAAACATGAAATTTGCAGGTAAATGGGTGGAACTAGAAACTGTTACTAGGTGAAGTAACACAGACTCAGAAAAATAAAATGACGTATGTTCTCCCTCATATGTAGATCCTAGAACCAAATCCTGATAAGTGACTATGTATCCAGACATAACCACAGGAACTAGGATAATGGAAAGGAAACAGGGAGGTAAAGGGAAGAATCTGAAAGAGAAGAACAGTAGGAAATAGGTGTTAATAAAGGAGACATGGATCAAAATGGGGTTATTTTAAGGGGCTGGGGGAGGAAAGATTATACAAGGAACCTAGGATATAAAGGGAAAGGAGGAGCTCAAGAGAGGCAGGACCATAGGAGAAGGGCATTATTAAATAAGTGTGCTGGATAGCTTTAGTGTCAACTTGACACACCTGGGTTGAGGGAGCTTAAATTGGGGGATTGCCTCTATTGGACTGGCCTGTGGCATGTCTGAGGGGCATCTTCTTGATTAGTGATGTGGGATGGTCTAGCGCACTGTGGGTGGTGCCACCCCTGGGCAGGTGGGCTTATGTTGCATAAGAAAGCAGGCTGAGCAGGGGCCAGGGGAGAAAGCCAGTAAGCAGTGTTCCTCCATGGCCTGTGCTCCAGCTCCTGCTTCCAGGTTCCTGCCCTGAGTTCCTACCTTGGGCTCCCTGATGAACTGCAACCTGGGAGGTGTAAACCGAATAAACCCTTTCCTCCCCAAGTTGGTATTGGTCAGAGTGTTTTGTCACAGAAATGAAGAAACAAACTAGAACAGTAAGAAATGGGGAAAATCAGGGCACCTTAAATGGGGAAACCACGGTGGAATGGCTGGATAATCCGAGAGATAATGACTAGCTAGTTTTAAAAAACCAGAGGGAACCATATTAGTCCAACAACCTACTGATAAATTATACACACAAGTAGATCAGGAATATAATATATGTCTAGGCAAGGTTTATCTGAGAACCTTTGGTCTTTGCCCAAGCTTTATCTACATGACACATGGTAATTAAAAGTACCAGACTGGTGGAACTAACCTTCTTGGATGTTTAACAGCCATACTTTGAGGCCTATACTAATTTGGTCAGAGGGACATAAAGGACAGTTTTTGCTCCTTGCCCTCCTAGGTCAACTAAGTTCCAGGGGAATATGAGCATCTCTCAAAATGTCCTGTAACTGTCACCTGTCCTCTTGATCAAGGAGGCTGTGGAGACCCCACCATATGGACTTGAAACAGTGTCAGTCTACAAAGCAGAGGGTCAACACAGAGGAACATTTCCTCTATGCTTCCAAGCGAAGCCAACCATGGTTGAGCAGGACCTTTGACTTATCTTCACATAGGTGAAATTGTTAAAAGAAAGGAGCCAGGGGCTCCTCCCAAGCACATGTGACCCCTGAGGAACAGATTCTCAAATGGCCTTTAGAGTGAAAATATATTGGTCTATCTGGTCCAACTGTAGGGTATTAAACACCCAAAAGGAAAGTATAACCAAAGATTAAAGGGGTCAATATAATTTTTTAAGAGTGCATATGTATAGCTTAAGCTACATATCAAGAAACAATGCCAGACAGGAGATACCTTCCTTTGAGTTGTTAGCCAGGGTGGCCCAAGAGACTCCTAGACAGTAACCCAGCATAGAACTGGGAAAATGAACAGCAGACCCCAATCTTATCTAAAGAAATATTGACAAGTGATTGCTGCTAGATGAGGAACAGCTGATCTTCCTAAAGCAAGGATCGCTAGGTCGGCTGACTAGATTTAGCAAATGGACAAGCACTGGAGAACAGCTGGGGGCACTGACAACACAGTGGACGTAACAAGGATGACAGAGTATATGGTCTCCAGTGGGGGGCAGAGGCTACAGGAGTGTGCCATTTGGGAAGTGGGTATATAGATGAATAAGATTGTTTGGGATGTTCTATTTGATACACACACACACACACACACAAATCAGCAAATTAAAAAAATGAGTTATATTTGAGGAAGAAGCATAAACATTTGCTTCATGTTAATTAGTAGAGGTGATAATCATTAACATTGAAATCTACCTGACGACTTTATATCCATACTCAGGTGCCAAGGATTGAGTGTAACTGACTGTGACTAGTAATAATCAGATACATAGAGATTAGAGATGCATGTGCAAACTTCTAAGTGTTAGTAGTATTAAAAATGGGTCTTTCTGTAGGAAACAGTATATTTAAAAATGAAATGGAGACCTATTGTAAAGGTTAAAAATGCATTCAATTTTATGTTTTACAGGGTTTATACTGAGTTCAATGTTGTATAACTGTATTAATTCAACTGTGAGCCTAAAAATTTATAGCCACTTTTGAAAGAGATGTAGCTTTCCTCTGGGAATTGTTATTGAATATGTTAAAGCTCTAATGAAATTCTTTTAATCATGTGGTTATTAAATAAATAAAAAATATTACAAATTGGCATGTATAGTATTATCTTATTTTGAAAATGTTGTATGTAAAAAAATGTACATGTGCACACACACACACAGAGTACACATATACACAGTGTCCCTTGATACGCTCAGGAATGGGGTTCCGGGCTACCCTGGGTACCAAATGCCATGGATTCTCAGACTCATATAAAGTGACACAGTATTTTCATATAACCCCAAAACATTCTCCCTATATTTTACCACTGATAAATTACTTATAAAATATACAGATTATTTTCAGTATTGGATTACACTATACATACCATTTTGTAATATATCTTAATTTTTAATTATTTTTAATTAAATTTTTATTAATGTATACCTGTATGTGTATGATGTGTGTGTGTGTCTGGGTCCACACATGCTATGCTGTGAGTCTGGAAGTCAGAGGACAACTTTTGGAAGTTGATTCTCTTCTTCTATTGGGAGTTTCAGAAATTAAACTCAGGTTGTCAGACTTGCATAGCAAGCTTTTTTTTTTTTTTTTTTTGGTTTTTTTGAGACAGGGTCTCCCTGTAGTCCCAGCTGGCCTGGAACTCACTATGTAGACCAGGCTGGCCTTGAACTCACAGAAATCCACCTGCCTCTGCCTCCCGAGTGCTGGGATTAAAAGTGTGTGCCACCATGCCCGGCTCATAGCAAGCTTTTAAACCTACTGAACCATCTTGCCAGTCCAGCATATCTTTTTTATTTTTTAAAAATATTTTATTTATAGGCCAGGCATGGTGGCACATGCCTTTACTACCAGCACTTGGGAGGCAGAGGCAGGAAGATCTCTGAATTCGAGGCCAGCCTGATTTACCTAGTGAGTTCCAGGACAGCTGGAGCTACAGGGAGACCCTGTCTCAAAAAGACAAAAAAATTTAATTTATTACTTTTATGTGTATGAGTGGAAGTCAGAAGAGGGTGTTGGATCCCCTGGACTTGGAATTACAGACAGTTGTTAGCTGTCATGTGGGTGCTGGGAATTGAACTTGGGTCCTCTGCAAGAGCAGCAAGCGCTCTTCACTGCTGAGCCATCTCTCCAGGTACAGGTACAGGTACAGGTATCTTTTTTAAACCTAAATTCTGAATGTCCTTCTTTGTTATTAAATATAACCTATTCATCATAATAATATCTGCATTATAATTGTGTACCAATAATAAGTGTTCATATGTGACAGCAGATTTGAAGTGATTCTAGTTTTATTTTCTGAATTTTATCCATATTTGTACAGCTTTGTAATAATTTTTTTAATAAAGGTAAATGTTTTAAATATAAATGTTGAGAGCTAATGATAGCAAGGAACATTTTCTATGGTAAATTATGTAACCTAAAAGTTTCAGATGACTCTTAGATACTCAAATTGTGCAATGGAGAAAATTTATAGCAAACTAACAATGTAATTCTCAGGCAAGATTATGTGAATTTCTCACAGTATCTATTTCTGACTTGGCCTCTCAAAATTAGAGCTGCAGGTGTTTTTACTATTTGTACTGTATGTAAGAACTCTACAATTTGAAAGAAATATCTATAATCTTTTCAGGAAATATTTAATATATTAGAGTCCCTCTCTAATTATGAGACCCATGCTCAGAAAAGGAATCAGAATGCTTCCCTTTCCTGTACCTCAATAAATGAACTCAGTGGTAAAACCATATTTTCCAAAAGAGAAAAAACTGTCCCAAATGGCATCCAACGAACATGAGGCGCAACTGCTGTTTACCTCACTATTCCTGCGCGCACGTGAACAAAATGCAGAGGAGCTTTCGGCATGGAAACCATATCCTTGGGATGACTCTGTTTGTTAATATAGAAAAAGGAAATCACTGGAAAAATCAAGCGTGTCTCTAAAAGTTGGGGATGGCCATTCAAGTTCAAGTACAAAGACACTCATTATTTCTGAAGTTGAATCTAGCCATGTGAGCATCTGTAAGAGTTTTGGAGATAAGGTGCTAGCTTGAGATTGGAGTTTAGGATGGACAAAGGGGAGAGGGACCAAAAGAAATTATTTTTTTATGCATGTGTTAAAAATGGTATCAATATTCTTTAAAATACTAAATGCTAGATATTAACATGTGAAAATAGAGATACACTGTTAAAACATAAATAATTTAATTGGATCAAATAATGTATTGACAATGGATCTTAAACAGTATAAACAAAACAATAACTTACAGCATTTGCAATGGTCCCCAGTCCGTCGTAATACATCACTCCTAACTGATAAATTGCTTGATGATCTTTATCCTTGATTTCTTCAAACTGTTCTAATGCTTCTTCATACCATCCCTGCAAGCCCCAGAGAACATATTTTATTATGCTCTTAAAGTAACCGCTAACTGAAGCAACAAGAGGTTGCTTGTGCCCTGGGATATGCAGTTAACAATCAGGATACATAGTTAACAAATAGTGCAGCCATATTGGATCCCACACCCCAAACAGAAATCGTGCTCTCAAGCCATCTGGCCATGTTGTCCCAGAGAGAGACATACGCATGCTGGGCCTCAACAAAGGTTCACTTAGAGAGTAAATGAAGGTGCCAACATCAAAAGGGTAGAAGGAAAGGAAGACATGGATTAGGAACTTCCCGAATGCTCAATGGATCATGAAGCACTGGGAACAGTCCTTTGGGGTATGAAGAACTGCATTATAATTGTAAGTGTTCATATGTGATGGCAGATTTGAAGTGATTCTAGTTCAAGTACTGAAGCCAGGAGGGATGATAGTACACAATTTTCCTTAGGCCTACCTACTAAGCTCTCCCACCATAATGTAGCCAAAGAAAAAATGAGCTCCTGTGCTATACAGTAACCTATAAAAGCTACTTTTTCATACCAAAGAATCAGGGCCTTTGGTTATCCTTATGCAAATATCTTATGTGACAATAAAAATTGTGAGTAAAGTCATAAAACTATGTTGTCAACAACATACAGTGTGAAAATACTGTTTTCAAAATGGCTCCTATAAATGACTTGTTTAGGATGACTTGTGAAGAAAGTTCAGTTAGCTCCTTAAACTGATAACTGTGAAAGCCAGAACCACAACCTATGTCATTTGACAGAATTTTCCTGGTATAGCAACGCAAGAAAGTCATATGAGAGCTTGCTATGGATATCTGATATCTCTATTTGATATGTGATGCTGCAGATGGAGTCCAGGGCCTTGTCCATCCTATGCAAGTCTCTACTACTGCTCTCTTAACCCCAACAATAAAGATCTAACAAAATTATTGAGAACAGAGAAGATAAATGGAAAATGATACCTCTTCAAAATAGAGTTGACCTCTTAGAAAATATGCCAGAGCATCCCCTCTTATGATTCTTTCTTTCAAGAACTGCAGAGCTTTATCCACCAAATTAGCATGGTTGTAATAATCTGATTTAGAAAGATATAAATTACATTGACCACACTGTGAATTTTTCTCTCTTGAAGTAATGTGTAATAGAGTTCAACAGACACTGTTAATTTCTTGCCAAGTTCTAATTGCTAAAATTTAGCTCGAGGAAAAGATAGGATATAAATTAAAGCATGATTACAGTACCTAACACTGTATCTTTAATAAAGAAACATTACTGAATTTTAGACTAGCCCTGTTCATTGCTCTAATGAGATTTATGTGCATGCATTGGGAAAAGCTGTTTTTTGGGTAAAATCAGTTTGAGCCATACTCAGAACTACTCTAATGACTTGTCTATCTCCATTTTAATTTTTCAAAGCATAAATAAAAATAGCTCCAAATGTCCATTTGGAGTAAAGCATGGTCTTGCTGTCTTTGATAGAACTGACATGTGGCATCTCTTTTTTAGAAGCATATCCCTAAGTCCTAGGGTAAAATCATAATCAGGACAGAATTGTGAAATTCTTCCAGTAATGGTTGGCTTTAAGAGTGAGTAGGAAGTTCACTGACTTACAGGAAGGGTAGAAAGGGACATAAAATTAACTCCTTCCTGGAAGCCAATGCCACATACTTTTTCTTGCTTATTCTAGCATACACGGAATTTCAGTAAAAATATTCTTCCCAAACAAAGATTAGATATTCAGATTTGTACCAGGCTTTTCTTTCTTCCATTGGAAGGATTTCTGGTGTTTACCAGCATACTGAGATAGAGAGGAATAAAAGGGGCTCTTAGGCAGCTTTTCACTGGTCAACTTCATCCTGTTTCCACAATGTGTATCCTGTAAATAAGAATCACAGAGAAGGTGGTAAAAATTTCTTCTTCCAGAACAGTGCAAAGGGAGATCCCTTCCTAGTTGGTACCCATTATAAAAGCATCCTCCTTATATTGCCTAGCCATGATAGGACACCAAACTACTAGCAAGTCTTGTCTGGCTGAGTTCACACACTACAGTGAATCTTTTCATTCTCCACAACTTCTGCCACTCAGTGGCAACTGGTGACACTGCTCAGAGACAAGGTTCTTGTCCCTGATGAATTTCTTGTTGTCTTGTAACTGAAGCTCACCAGAGTAATCCAGTCAAATGAAAGTATCTGTTGGTTTTTACCTGGGAATACGCTGTATTTTAGCTGTGTTGTTCAGCTTTCTCTTCCTGTCCGTATTGGACTGCCATGTCATCAGATGGATCACGGCTGAGTGGTAAATCACAGCCTTCATATAAAATGCAGAGGCTACCTCATCAGGGATGAGGAGTCCAGGTTGGCCTAGCCTGAGGGTAATGAGGACAGCAAACTCGGTTGTTGCTATGCTTCCTTTTTTCCTTTGTAACTCCTCTGCATTCTACAGTTCCAGTTTACTTTCACCAATCAGGAGCCAGTTTCCAATCAAAGTTCCTGATTGGTTGTCTAGAGACACTCTCAAGAGACCCTTCGTGTGATTGGAAAGCTATATTTATATCCATGCAGGATACTGTTTTAGAAAATAAGCTGCTTCATTAAATGAGTAAAATGCAAAAGGGAGATAAAAATTCAGTAAGTCAGTAAAAAAGAGTTTACTGAAATGTGTTTGTGATTTTGGAGTCAATCAAGTTAACTAAGAATTGATTTCTTTATCAGTTTGTGCTAAAGGATCATAAAGTAGCCTTTCCTTGATATATAAAATTATTGAATTACAGAACTGGAGAGATGGTTCCTTGGTTAAGAGCACATCCTGCTGGGGTCTGGAGAGATGGCTTAGTGGTTAAGAGCACTTGCTGCTCTTGCAAAGGACCCTGGTTTGGTTCCCAACACCCATGTGACAGCTCACAACTCTCTGTAACTCCAGTTTCAGGGGATCTTATGCCTTCTTCTGGCCTACTCACACATAGGTAGCATCCACTCATAGTGACACACACAAATATAAATAAATCTTAAAGAATAAAGTTATCGGATTACATGTATGCCAAATCTATGGTTGCATTATAAATATGTAAAATTCCTAATGAGCTTTAAGGTGGGTCAATAAATAGAAAATATTTAGAAGAAAACAACCCAAATTGAATGACTGCACACTATGAATTACCACTCAAAACCAAATTGGGAAATTCTTATTTTCAATGAAGTATTAACATGATACGCTGCTCTATTCAAAAAGGTTTAATGTGGCAAACTCAGTAAGGGCATCAGAAATAAAACAAATCCTGAACCACACTTTACCTCATTTAAACACATATTGTCCTTTGTGGTTGTAAGGCTGCACATGTTTTTTGTTGTTGCAACTTATACAAAGTACTGCAGAGGGCCTGGAAAACAATAGAAACAAGATTTAGTCATTTCCTATTAAATGTCAGGTTTTGTTCTTTTTTCAAAGTGCTTCATAAGCGAACATTCATAAAACTTTATGAAATAGGATTATGAGCCCTACTGAACATATTAGGAAACTGAGGCATGGAGGAGCTATTTTACCTAATATACAAGTGAGGCTTGTGTGTGAGGGCATCCTGCCCCCAAGTGATTACTTTGTTCTGTCTCTCCAAAACAAAAAAGAAAAGCCAATGTTTTTAACATCACAATGTTAGATCATAGACCTGCTGCTTTAAGATGCTGGACACGCTAAGAGATTGGATCTTCAGTCTGAAGAAACTGGGGCTCCTCTACACCCCCTGTACTTTTTTACCTTGAGACAAAGCTGACAACCCCTGCTGGGCACATACAGACCTGAGAGAAAAGCAAGCACAGCCCCCCCCAAATATAAAAGTCAGACTATGCCCTTTGGGGGATTTTTCTCTGAGATCCTGATTCTGTTCCCTCATGCTGTCTACAGCTCCTATCTCTCATATTTGTCACTTTAAGTTAACTCTCCTAGTGCTCTCACAATGCCTGTAGTGCTCCCCTGCCTCAAGGCCAATCATGCCCAACCCACTGTGGTTATGACGCTCTCTTTCCTAATAAAGTTCATTTCTGAAGGATAATTTTGTGTGGCTTCTTTTGAGAGTCTGCTGCTCTGAACTCCTGCAAGAGGTTCACCCAAAATAAATTACTTTCTAATATGAGTAAATGAGAAGTAATAAAAGATTTTAAAATTTGAGAGTATGTGTTTATTCCTGTCAAATTTTGGGATTAAGTATAAAATCATTTGAAGCTTAACAACTGTGTGTATACTACGTCATGAACATATAACACTGTCTAATAGAAATCATAGGCATTTATTGATAATGTAGAATCTAAAAGGAACCT